CAGCACAAACATTTTTTTCAAATTTTTATTTTTTTGTTTTGTTGTTTTGTTGTTGTTTTATCACAAGTTTTTTCTAAATACCAGGACAGACAAACACAGATAAAGAGATCAAAGGTAATAACAGATTCGATACTGAAAGGGTTTTGGCAACACACGGTTAGTAGTGAGGGAAGGGAATAGGCACTTGAAGAAGACAACAATAAAGCTCTAGTACAATTAATCAAACAGCTTTTAAATAGCTTAGGCGATAGTATTGTTGAGGTTGTTGATTGAACTGCTCAAACTGGCTGAAACCGAGCTCAACGATCGCTGACTGTTAGATTTGATCAGTTTGGAAGCGCTGTTGTTGTTGTTGCTGCCATTGATTGCCATTCCCATTGCCAGTCCACTGCTGGGCACATTGGGCAGAAGTGTAAAGTAGGTGGCCAGCTTGCCCTTCCACAGCTTCACCTCATGAGCAGAGGCAAACTTGAGGGCGACATTGAAGGAGGCTTGAACGTCCAGTGAAAAAAGGTGCAGCGTCTTGATCTCCTTTCCCTCCTTTAGATTGGCCATTGAAAGGGCAGCTACGGTTGCAGAGCTGCGACGACTTCCACTGGCGGAAACTGTTGGCGAACTTTTGTTGCTGATTTTGCCGCCACTGGTAGACACTGTAGAGGGCGATCGACTGATGGACGTCTTTGTTTGTTGTTGCTGCTGCATTTGAATCTGATGCTTCTTAAGTCGACGACTGAGCGAAGTGGTGGAAATTGTCTGCTGTTGTTGCTGTTGCTGAAACGCTCCCCCCACCTTTAGTCGTCGCTGAAAACGTCGAAAAGTTCCGACTCCTCCGCTGTTTCCGCCAACTCCCCCTCCAGCCTTGAGAGAGAGATGATCGCCAAAACCGAGGGAAATCGCCTTCGAGGAGCCGTAGTCGAAGAAGAGCACCGAGCCGGTGGCCACGCTTGCGACAATGTGGTAGCGGCGGTTGAAACGCAGCGAAGACTGCCTCGCCAGGATCAGCACCTTATTGAAGAGCATCAACGTCGGTTTGCCGCGATTGAAGCGGCTGCTTTTGCGGCGGACTCGCGAACGCAGCACCAGCTCGGTGCTGCCCTTGAAGGCGGTCGCCATTTCCGGTGAGCATGTGCCACCATTCTCCTTGTCATCATCTTCCTGTTGATCACTAACAGCTTCTCCTCCTACTCCTCCTCCCCCACCACCCAGCCAGAAAGTGGCCACCGTTTTGCGGTACTCCGCAAAGGCGGTCGCCTGATTGAGCCGTCCAATCTGCCCGTTGATGGCCTCAATGGCGGCCCCCCAGGTAACCGCTTCCTCCTCACTAGCGGCCACCTTGGCGATCTCCGCAAAGAGCAGCCCCAGCTTCATCAGCAGCGACCGGGGGGCGTCAATAAAAGTGGCCAGGCCCAATTTCCGCGTAGCCGCCTCGATAATGGGGTGGGCGAGGAAGGCGGCAAAGCGACGACACTTTCCACCTCCGCCCACCTTGCTCTTCAGCAGCTTCTGCGCCTCCTTCAGCCGGCCCAGATAGGCCTCATAGGGGCCGGTCAGCCGGCCGGTGGTGATCTCCTCGAGGACCGCTTCGGCGGGGCCGGCCCCCTCGCTGTACAGCCCGTCGCCGCCTCGGAAGGCCATCAGCCGTTTGACCAGTGCAAAGTGCACCTCAAAGAGCGCCTGAAAGGGGGCGCCGAAGAGGAGGGCCGCCTGGTCGGCGGTGAGCAGGCCCAGCTCCACCAGCGGCCGCTCAAAGAGGTACACCGAAAGGAGCAGGTCGTGGCAGAGGTTCATCTCTCGGAGGAGGAGCTCGTGCAGGGCGTTCTGGCGCCGCTTGGCCGCCTCGCCGCCGGGTCCGGCCACTAGGGCCGCTTTAAGAGCTTCCGGCACCAGCTGCTCCCACTGCAGCTCACTCCGTTCAATGGCAATCGGTTTTTCGGGAACAGAAGAGCTGACCGCCACGCGAAACTCATCCACGGCAAGGCTGAGGACGCATTCAAGCGGGTTGCTGTTGAGCAGATTGTAGCTAAAGTTGCAGCTGTTCAGGCTGTTTGGGAAGCAAGATGAGGCGCCAGGTGATGATGTGGTGGCCACAGGACTGCTCGGAGGCGTGAAACTGGTTGAACTGCGACGGAAGACCGACTGACAGACGGACTGCACCTTGCGCACCATTGAGGAGCTCTTCAGGGCGTTGCTCATCTGGACGGGCGCACGCAAACTACTGCTGTTTGCCATCTGATTTAAAATCGGGTAGAAAATAATATGGAAATTAGCAAAAACTTTGTATTTTTTGCAATAGTTTTTAAATTAAACAGATTAATTGTACTTGTTTGAGATGATAATTTATTTAAAATAAACTATCACTAGCCTAAAAAACATGTGTATTATTGAAATATTAAACTACTAACTGACCCAGTATCTACTAAAAAGTTATCAATAACTTAATTTAACTGCTTACCGGAAAGGTTGTCGTGGCTTGCATGGTTTGCGTGAAAGGTGGCCGCTGTTTAATGTTTTTCTAAAAAGAAAGAGAGGAGGAGGAGAACTTTGCTTTGATCAACTAAACAAAATTAAAATAAAACAGCATGTTAGTGACGGCTGTAAGAAGACAAGAAGAGGAGAAATACCAAAAAACAAGCAGGGGTGGCTGGCTAGTTGACAATGTTGGCGATGGTGGTGGTGGTGGCAGCCATCAACAAAGTCGACAAGGACGAGAAAAACCGAATATTGTTCAGCAGCTGCTTCGACCAGCGTCCACTGGTCGAATGAGGCAAAGTGAAGGGTTGCAGTCGATGTTTGTACAATCAAAAAGTGAAAATGATGGTCATTGTTTAGACTAAAGGGACTGCTTGTTAACATGAGCTAGTTCCCTCCAGACTTGGCTACCCAAATTAGGCGACTGTGAATCTGGCGCCAGTTCAATTTTACGGTCAGTTGATTTGTTTGCCGAGTGTTGAAATACTGTCAACTATCTTTTTAAATTTTGACAATGTTTTTGATGTTTCTTTTGTCTGCTAGCAGATCATCTAAAGTTTTTCATTTTTGCCAAACCGGCAATGGCCAGATTGAAGGAAACTGTTGCTTGGTGATGAAGACAGCTGTTGTTTGGACACGTGAACAGTACCAAAAATGGGATTGCACTGATTCGATGAGGATTACGACAGCAACGGACACTGAAATATGTAGCTTTACAAAGATCACTTTCACTTTCCGTTGTTGTTTTTGCCAAACGCAGGCTCTTTTCACTCTGCCGGTCATCTGATGGTGACTGTGTGCTGAAAATGTTTATATTTTACAGTACAAATCTTTTTGATTTAGTGATGGGGGGCAGAAACGATGTCTGCAGGAGGCCGTGTTTGCCGGTCTCTCTGAATGTTTGTGCTCGTGATCAACGCCTGAAACAATAGCATTAGTTCTGCTTCTGCTGCTGTTGCTGCTGCTGATTCAACTTTGCAATTGATGATAGTGCTTAAACCGTTGATTCAAACAAAGCTATCAGAAAAGTGAAACCAACTGTAGAGTAGTATAATGAGAGGTCAACAAAACTGACTGGTTGACTGATAGCGGAAAAGTATAAACGTTGATTTTAAAATAAAACTGGACTTTACAGTCAAATTACAAAATAAATAAGTTAAAAATTGATAGAAGTTCAGGAGTCAAATAAACTAGAACGTTAGCTAATGACTGGCTGATCATTGTCATCACTGGTTGATTCTCATCATCATCATCAGCACTGGTCAAATCGGAAGCAGTGTCCATCGGCATTCTCTGTCAATCTGTTTCCACTGGTCACTGACGTAAATGAGCGTAGACTCAATGTGCTGATGATGACCATCACCACCACCAGCAGCAACAACGGTGTCAGTTACGCAAATGGCATCTTAATTAGCGTAATCCACTAGGCAAATCCGGTGGCTGTTTGCAGTCAGGCCGCACTCAGTGTTTGGCAAAACTGGGGAAAAACGACTTTCAAACTAAATGTTGACCAGGCACGTTTAGCTGTTTTTGGATGTTTGTTTGATTTGAAGATTATACCTAACACTGTGTGCACTGTTGAGTTACCGGCGCAATGTTCAGTGTGGCTAAAATGTGATGTTAAACTAAAAACAAATGTGTGTGTTTGCAGACTAATTAGCGAAATTGCTACTGTCGGGAAGAACTGAACATTCCAAACTAATGAGTTTAAAAATTGTGTAATTAAACGACTTGGTTTCAGCAATGGCCAGCAACAAATTAAAAAAACTAAAAAAATTAACCATTATTAAACTAATTTAGCATATAAAGTATAACCAATTTTTAGCAAGTAACATTCTGAGTACCTATTTTTAATACAAAATGTTTTTACTTAAAAATTTAATCAAATTGATTTTTTAAAAAATATTCAACAAATTGCGCCGAATGTTTTAGGCGTTTAAAAACTATACAGGAATAGCAAGCATTTCTTCTACCAAACACTTAATGAAAGTGAGGGTAGGAAAGCACCTTTGCCTATGTACCCTCCTCATCTCCTTTGCCTTTACCATCTTCTGGTAGCCATATTTGGCAGGGGCACTGCTGCCCCCAAAACACACGCACAATGACACAGTTTGTCGACGCGTCAGCACATTTAGGCACTGGCGATAAATCTGCTGTTGCCTGCCTGCCTGCCTGCCTGCCTGCCTGCACTGACTAAAGTTCGCCTGGCAACCGGCAACTGCAAAGAAGTACACGTCTGCAAGCGTTCTCTTTCTTCTCCTTTCTTTTGCTGAGCACGTCATCTCCGTTTTTTAGCATCGACAACACACACACAAACAAACAGCACCTTTGTCGGTCGTTTCCGCTCAAACTCGCACACACACACACACACATATTGTGATTAAGCCAGAAACAAACGGACTACCTTGAGCTTCTTGTAGACAATCGGACTGGACAAAACTCCCCAAAATACCTACTCAAACAATCTAAACAAATCAAGTTTTTGCACATTTAACTATATCTTTTCAATCACCACCACCACTCCAACCAAAATGCACCGATCACTAATCAGCCTAACCACCTTGGTCATCGTCGCCGCTCTGGCCAGTGGCACCAGTGACGCCTGCAAGGTCACCAGCAAAACGTACTCCGCTCAGGACGGCCTGGTGCTCACATCGGTGGCGCACACCATCTCCTTCACCGCCGACTGCCCTCCTAATGGTAAGAATAACAGCTTAAACTTTGATTTGAAAACTAGAACAAAACTTTTAAACTCAATAATTGTTCCCTTAATAAAACAGTCATTCCCGTGTACGCCAATCTGAACGGACGCACCCTGGCAGTGGTTCGCAACGACAATGAAAAGTCCTTTTCAGTAAGATAAATTTTATGTTTTGTCTTTTTTAAGAAGTACTTTAATTTAACATTTACTTTACAATAATTTCACTCAGATTTCCTGGATCAATGAACTGGCCAAGGCCTCTTCGGGCAGCTACAACCTGGAGGTTTTCGATGAGGAAGGCTACCAGCTGTTCAAGAAGTCCCGATCCTCTGGCAAGGAGCTCTTTTCGTTGCCTTTCAGCCACTCTTCGCCCTACAAGGGACCGCTTTTTCAGTTTGAGCTAGTGGCGCTGGTCACCGGTTTGCTGGCCACCTACATTGCCATTGTCTACCGCTTCAAGATTACTTCCAAGAAAATTTAGATGTTAGATGAATGATTAAAATCCCTTTTTTAAAAATAATCTTTTTGTGCATGTGATTGCTTGCAATCATAAAGTGTGAGCGTAGATTATGTTGTGCGTTTGCTCTATCACCAAATTTGCTAAAATTAATTTTTTGTTAACTACCATCATTGACCTCTTTGTATCTATTTAAAATTATTATTGTAATTTTTGATTGATGCTAAAAACTAAATAAATATGTGTTTTGTAACAAGGCTAATGGTAAAACAGACAGTTTAACTAAAAATCACTAAGTTTTAAATAATATTGTCTTGAAAAGTTTCCACAAAACTAAAAAAGTTGAAGTGTTTAATTGAAATTATCTGACGACGACTAAATTCACCTGTGTTTGGCCTAAATGAGGTAGTAATAGAGCTTAGTGGCTCGTTATTGAAAAACGTAAACACGTTTTTGTAGCTTGAAGTTGTTTCACTGACAACTGACGTTAATTTTCAGCCAACTTGTGCAATTTATTCTGTCATGTTGTGAGTTACTTAAAAACATGAGCTTTTAAATAAAAACAATTTATTTTTTGTTATTTATTTTAATGTCGTTTGTTTTTTGAAATATCCGTTGCATTAAAATTACTTTTGTATGTTAGCAAATATTTGTTAAAAATATAACATTTTTTACCTTTGTGATGTTTTTAAGCACGCTGTGATTATACTGAAAATTTGTTTTTCTGATTTTAACTGCTTTATGCAATAAAAGCACAACTACAAAACTACAAAACGCATAAACAAATGTTTACCGCATTAAACTCTTCACCGACTCTTAACCTTGAATAAAAACTACAACAGCAACAACAACAACAAGGCCAGCTGGACTGTAAATCACTTTCAAATCTAAAACAGTCTAAAACGAAACAAGTGAAACATTTTGTTTTTAAGCTAGACAACTGTACAAAGTGCAAAGACAAGTTTCACCACAGGCTAGTTTGGCGATGCCGTCGGCTTATCACCAGGCGACCATCTAATCAGACATGCAAACACACACACACTTGTTCACTCATTTCACGTGGTTGTGTTCTACTGAGAGGGTGATTTAGTGTTCAACAACTACCACCATTGCCACAACTTCCTTTGGCTTCAGTAGTAACATCTGCCGAGAGAGGTGAGGGTAAACAACACGTCAACGTGAAAACTCAAAGTTGTACAGTGCACAGTGTACAGTGCCGCCTGTGTTGTCTGCACTGCTGCACTCTAGTTATCGATTGGCCTGTTGCTGCTGCTGTACAGACGATGATGATGGTGAGGGTGAGAAAAATGAGTCTGCTGTCACTCTGAAAAAAAATCGCCTGAAGCAACATTGAAAAGGTGAAACATAGTGACAACTGCTGCGAGGCCATCAATCAACCGGCAAAAGTGGTTGTTCAGTGCCCAGACGACGGCGCCTTTTCCTTTTTTTTGTTCAAAAGTTTCTTACATTTTCATTTGAACAACTTTTGTTGTTGAAGCACTACTCCACACCGATTTTGTTTTATTTTGAGCTTTTTTTAACACTCATCTTTGCACTAACACACGCCATGGCTCTTCTTGAAGTAATTGGAAATGTGGCTACTGTCATTACTATCATCTCTTTTCTCACTGGATTGTAAGAGTTTCTGATGTCAAAGTTATGTGAATAAAGTATAACAAACATGGTTTTTTCTGTAACAACTTAGAATCATCTGTCGAGACATTTACCGGGCTCGTTCTACAGGTGACTTTTCTTCCTTTCCCTTTGCTGCTGGCACACTATGGTAATGATTTTAGTATTTATTTGGCTTGAACTTTAAATTTAAACTGGTTTAAATCTAATTCTCATTTCAGCACATTCCTCTGGTTGCGGTACGGCCTGCTGCTTGCCGATCCAACCATGATCTTTGTCAACAGCATTGGCTTTACACTGCAAACTTGCTACCTAATTTGGTTCTACTTTTACACCGTGCAAAGGGTAAAACATTTTAACAAAAATATTTTTATTTTATGTTGTTTAGATTTACTAAAAATTCCATTTATTTCTTACAGGCGGCCATCACCCGTCAACTGCTGTTGCTTCTTTCCATCCTCTTCAGCCTGCATTTCTACACGCGGTACAGCGCTGAACCGGAAGTGCTGGTGGCGCCCTTTGCTTCCCTTTCCTCGCTCCTCTTCTGCGCCTCCCCACTGGCTTCCGTCTCCGAGGTGGTGCGCACTCGATCGACGGCCAAGCTGCCCTTTGCCCTCATCCTCTCCTCCTTTGTCGTCTCCTCACTGTGGTTCAGCTACGGCTACCTCCTGGACAACTCCTTTGTGATGTTGCCCAACGGCATTGGAGCGCTCATTTCCGGCATGCAGCTGAGCCTCTTTGCGCTGTACCCAAACAAGTCAAAGTCTCAGGTATAAAAGTAACACCTTTTTTATTTTTTACTCTTTTCGTTGTCTTTGTCAAACTAACTATTTAGTCTAGCAAAAAATATTACTGACGTAATAGTTTTAAAATTTTAAAAACTAACTTATAATTTTAATTTTTTAATTGTAGAAAATATATTTAGTTTTAGTTAAAAGTTGTAGTTGCCTGCAAACGTTGTACTGAAACAATTTTCTGATTTTATTTTTTATTTTATTTTTCCCACATTAGTAAACACTTGACCCATCTTAAGCTGAGGCACAAAAAACGTCAAAACTTGCAAAATGCGTTTAAAACGGAAAAAATTAAATGAATTTTAAAATAAAACTATTTTTGTGTAGTTTTTGTGTTTTACACCCTTAATTTGTTTTTAAATTTATTTAAAAATATAAAATATTTGCTCATTTGTAAATGACATTGCAATTTGACTAAAAGTTATTTTGTTTTATACCAATGTTAGTTAAATTAATGACCAATTCAAAGTTTTTACTCAACACAATAATTTTAAAATTGTTTTTCAATGTTTTGTTTTAAAAATAAATTTTAATTACTACTATTTTAATTATTACTACTATTTTAATTACTACTATTGTAAATTAATTTTTTGTGTTTTTATGTTTTCTAAACTTATTTGTAAAATATTTTTAATTTTTATTTTTATTAACAGAATCTCATTACTAATGGCTACCGAAATTTCGGACAAATGAAAAAAAAGTTGAGTGAAGAAAAACACGACTATGACAATGAAGAAGAACAAATTGAATTAGTTAAAAATATTGAAAATAAAAGAAAAGAAAACCCAAATGAATTTAAAATTGAGAAAAACACTTTACAATTGTAACAAAATTTTAATTTTTGTCACAAAACTCTTACCGGTGATCTCATTTATTGACAATTTAGTTTTTTAGTCAACATCATTAACTGCAATTTTCCAGTCAATTTTTTTTTAATTTTTTAATTTTCGTTCAGTCACACAATTATAATTGTGTACAATTTTTTTGTAATTTAAACAAATTTTACAAAACTAACGATTGTTTTTTAATAGATTGTTAAAAACATTAAAAAATAAAAACCAATTTTTCAGTTAATAAAGAGTGATCACAAGTACCCATAAGGATTGGCCCCATTTTTTTCACACTCCCAAATAATGTTGAATAATACCTTGTTGAAAATGTAAATTTAAGTAGATTATGCATAAAAAATATCAGAATCAAGCACCTAATAGTTTTTTAAGAAAATCGGGTCCAAAGTTGCTTAAATTGCATTGTTTTCAATGAAACAAAAAAATCAACAAAAATTATTCAAAAGAGGGCGACACCATCTCAAAGTTAATATTAAAATTGCATAAAAAATGGAAACTTTGGACCCGATTTTCTCAAAAATAATTAAGTGCTTGATTCTGATATTTTTTATACATAATTTACTCAAATTTACCTTTCCAACAAGGTATTACTCAACATTATTTGAAAGTGTAAAAAAATGGGGCCAAAGTTGTGATCACTTTTTATAAATAAAACACAAAAAAGTTTTTTAGAAGCGTAAGGTGAAAGTGAACACAAGCATACGTAGTTCAGACTGACTTTATTGGCAAAGAGTAGCTGTTTATATACACAAACAGGCGACGTAACTTTGAACTCTCAAAGCCACGTCGCTAGCTGCCTATGGGCCGCTACTATTTTTATTTTTCAAACAAGTTTTAGCTTACAACTTTTTAACAATTTTAAACATTTAATGCTAAAGTAATAATAATGATATGGTTCCGATGCTTACTTGAAGCGAGGCACTACAATTAAATATTTACTTGCATTTAGTCATTTTTAAACTGCATGCTAAATAATTTTTGAAAACTAAAAAATATGTTAGTATACAGTTACAAATCAAGTTTAAAATATACTTAAGTTGCGTTTTCGAACTAAAAAAGGATTAAAAAATAATCGCGAGTTTTGACTTTTTGTCTAAAATAAAAATTTGTTATTTTGTGTTATTTAAAAAATACTTATTACAACAATTCGATTTGCAATGTTTTTCATTGTTTTTGAATTTTTGTTAAAATTTTTGTTGTTACGAAGAACATTAAAATCATTTTCTGCAATTTTTTGAAAATAATTTTATTAAAATGATAAAAAGCAAATGATTAATTTTTGTTACCAATAAAACCTTTAACTGATAAACAAACAATCAACAAAACACCTAAAACAAATAAATATTTAATAAACTTCATTTTTTAAATAAATGAAATTTGTTTGAATAATTTAAAAATTTGCAATTAAAATCTTTTTGTAAAGCATATTATGTAAAAATAGAAACGAAAAGTTTTATTTATAGTTTTAAAAATATGACCTTTCAAGTTTTTTTGTGTGACATGACAAAACAGCAATTAAGAAAGTAATTAAAAGTTATTCAAACAGTTGTCAAATAAAACCAATTACAAATGTTTTCAAAAATATATGTTTTTATAGCTTTGCTTTTAATTTGTAAAGTATTTGCTAAAATTTTGCATAATTTTTTATCATTTAAATTACATTTAATTTTTAGGTCATGCAATGCACGTTATTATTGATTTTCGTTTATTAAAAGTGGTGTTTTAAAGATTTAATGCACAACAATTTAGT